ATGTGTTGTTTGATAGGCCTGGTATCATGCTGGAGATCTCTGGTAGAGGGGTCCCATCTTCATGATGGAGGTGATGTTCTCGCGGAAATCGCGCAGCGTGAAGATGCCGGCTGAGATGTGTTTGTACGTTTCTTTGGCGGTTGCGGAGTCCTTCGTTACGGCCTGGACGTGTTCGACTAAACTGGCCATATCGCCCATGCCCAGGAGTTTTTGGATGAATGGTTTTGGAGAAAATCGTTCGAGATCTAGCATGTGCTCTCCTGTGCCCAGGAATATAATGGGGGTGTGGGTTGCAGCGACTGCGGAGATCGCGCCTCCACCAGCGGCGTTGCCGTCAGTTTTGGTGATAATTATAGCACCGAAATCTGCTGCAGCTTTGAACGCGGCGGATTGCGATTCCGCGGCTTGTCCGATGGTGCCGTCAAGAACCAAGATGGTTTGATCCGGTTGTATGGCGGTTTGAATTTGTGTCATTTCTACAAACAGATCTTCTTCCTGCTTATGTCTACCACTTGTATCGACAATGATGATATCAAAACGCTCCTTCTTGAACTTCGCCACTCCCTCTGCGGCAACCACAGCGGGATCTGTCTGTGTCAGGCTGCCAAAGTACGGAATTTTTGCCTTCGTCGCGTTCTGCTTGAGCTGATCGAAGGCACCGGCACGGAAGGTATCTGCACAAACAAGAGCAGCTCTAAAACCACGAGTCTGATAATGCCTAGCCAGCTTCGTGCATGTTGTGGTCTTGCCCGCACCCTGTAGGCCAACAAACATGATCACGTTCGACCTCCCTTTTTTTGGCTTGAATGGCTCCGCATGGGGATCCACCAGAGCCACCAGCTGATCAAATACAGTTTTTTGTATTAAGCGTTTCTTATTTACAGCTGGTGGAAGGGAAGAGAATGGCACAGCGGCTTTTATGGATTTGCGGAGGGACTGGACGAGGCGAACGTTGACGTCGGCTGATAGGAGGGCGGCGCATATCTCTTTGATCATCGCATCAAATGCCTGTGGGGTAGAATTAGAAAATGAGTTCATGTCAAAACAACATATATGAATTAATTATGTAAAATAGTAGGTGAGTACCTGTGCGTCGACATTGTTTGACCTTGTTAGGTCGTTGACGGCGGCGTTAATGCGCCGTCCCAGGTCTTGAAGGACCATCGCGGGGAAGACCTGAAGAGAGGATGAGGGATAAAGACTGGCGGGTCCGGCAAGGGATAAAGCATAGAGCTGAAATATCGACTATAGGGAATTTCGGCAATGCAGTCCAAACCCCGATTTGTCCCCGGTAAGACAAACGATACTTCGTTTCTCTGAGTATATTGAAGCTGTCACGGCGCTGTAGATGGTTGAGTTTCATTGCGCCAACGGAAATTCGATGAGTTGAATGTGGACTTAAGTCATGTGACCTTACAATCGACGTAATTTTTATTTTCCTCCGAAAATATTCTTGACACTCAATAAAAAGTACTTTCCCACTTTCCCATTCCAAAGAGACATACAAATAAATATATATATCTCTATAAATGGCGCCTCCGTCATTTAAGAAGCGCAAGGTCGAAGATGGAATGAACGGCAGAACCGCGAGACCAAAAAAGAAGTTCAAGAAACAGCGGATATACCATAGCAGCTCGGAAGATGAAGGAGACCGTAACGATGAAGGGTTTACGGCAGTCAATCTGCAAGACTCTGATAGTGAGAAGGAAGAGCGCTTAAGCAAAGAATACCAGAAGCAAAATATTTTCGCGGACTCGGATGATGAAGAGCCAATTGCTACGGCCACAGCTGAGAGATCGCACCCACTACCGGACGAAGTTGCATCGTCAGAATCAGATTCGTACGCTGCCTCTTCTGCCGCCTCGGCCTCCGGCTCCAACATCGACTCGGACGATTCTATTTCCGGCACAGACCAGCCAAGAAGCACCCGCCGTAGGAAGCTTTCCAAACGAAACGACCCCACCGCCTTCTCAACCTCCATCTCCAAAATCCTCTCGACAAACTACCCACCGCCGCCCGCGCAGACCCTTTACTCTCGCGAAGCAGATCGACAGCGGAAACTACTTCACAGCTCGCAGATAAAAAGCTCGAGAGCCGCGCGCTTGCGAAACTGCGGGCTGAGAAACGGGAAGTGCTGGAACGTGGACGGATACGAGATGTCCTGGGGGTAGAAAGGGGGGAGGCTGGCGAAACTGCGGAACAGGAGAAGCGACTGCGAAAGATTGCTCAACGGGGTGTGATTAAGTTGTTCAATGCAATGAGGGCGGCGCAGGTGCGAGGAGAGGAGCTCGTGAGGGAGGAGAGGAGGAAGAGGAGTATTGTTGGCATGGCAGAGCGGGAGAAGGCAGTCAATGAGGTTAGCAAGCAGGTGTTTCTAGATTTGATTAATGGGAAAGGGGGGAAGGGCTTGAATATCGAAGAGGCATGAGACATGGATATCCTTTTTCTGTGCATATCTTCTCCGCTATATTTCTGTATGCATTTTTTTATTTGACCTGTGCGGGTATAAAAATGGGCGTTATTGGGGTTTTCACTAAAGAAACGCTGGTGATATGATGTCTATCGGGGAATATATAATACAAATGTCGCAAGTATCGAGTATACACACGGCGACGATCAATCATACGACACAAGAAAAAAGATCCACCATGATCTGTTCCAGTCTTTTGTCACGTTCAGCGGAGATGGCTTGTCACGGATGTCCGAAATCCAGTACTAAACGAAGAAATGAATAAGACAAAATGGGAAAATGAACGCCCAACATTTCATGACTTGATTGAGTATAGGCTGCCGATTTCGCGGTCCAATTCACATAAAACCATCAGCGCTATTTCTTCTCAAAATCGCTTGCTTGCAAATTTCGTGTCATGCTCGGCAGTCGTACAACGAGTCCATCCAACTCTGGGCTCATCTTCACTTGGCATCCCAGCCGCGAAGTCTCCGTCAAGCCAAAGGCAAGGTCGAGCATGTCATTCTCGTCGTCGTCAGGTTCTTCCAGCTTATCGTACATGTCGGGATCTTCCACGATAACATGGCAGGTTGAGCACGCGCATGATCCACCGCAGGCACCTACGGGTATAAGTTTATATTAGCCCGGCATCCATATGGAAATGAAGTTGAAAAAAATCTAATATTCAATAGAATTTGCATATTGCGGCGGGAGAAAAAAATGATTTCTACCTTCCATTTCTAGATCATTCGCCTGGGCGATATCAAGCAGGTTGTCCCCCTTGGCCACCTTGAAATGGTGTTTCTGATCGTCCTTGTCAATGAAGGTCACATTGAGCCTGGCAGAAGCACGGTTGTTAGTTTCTATGGAACTTATACTGAAAGGGCATATCCGTTAATATAAAATATTCTGAACACTCACTCCTCTCCTTGTTTGGGAGGATCAAGATGTCCATGCGATGCCACCGCAGTGACTGAAAATCTCCGCCGCGCCCGGAGAGCATTTTGCGGACGGTGCGCATTTAATCCACCCCTCCGTAGATTCAGTGATCTGACGTATACTGAGTGTCTGTGGGCCGTGCTATTGAAGGATCTCGGGGCCGAAGTCATAGAGGCATTCCAGCATGTTGGCGGTTGCTGAACGAGTGGTCTGTAGTCCTTGAGGATATGTGATGCGTTGATTCGTAACTGGCGGGTAATACCGTTGCATATCGACATGACTCTGGAAGGGAGACGAGTAAGAAACGAATATTTCCCTTTTCGAATTGATACTTAGAACAATATTGACATAGAATAAAATGGCGTTCGGGGGATATCTTTCTGTGCGGCAACACTGATGCCGCTGGAAGTTCTGCATTAACGGCATCAATGTTTTAAGCCGCCTACACGGCAAAAAAAAAAAAAAAAAAAAAAAAAAAAACTAAATAAAATTGCTGGAAACTAAAAAGGGACCAACATCATCGTCATCATCATCAACGGCAATATCGAATCTTTGAGAATACCCCTACAAACGCCAACCACTATAGATACCACATAAGTGACAGCCGGTATCGCGCCATTTAACTGGGACAATAAATAAGACGCACTCCGCAGCTCATCATGGGCTCGTCCTCTGAAGGACCAAACCCACTCCGTCCGTACTATGTTCCACCCTCCATCGGTCTGCCCAAGTCTTCCCCCAACACCGTTTCTGGACCGCCAGTTTCCAGCGCGCTCGTTAGCAAGGCGAATATTAGAAATTCGGCGCGGGAGATCTTCTCTGAATTTGACTACTCGGAGTACCTGGGGGAGTCATCCCCGACGATATCAGACTCCGTCAAGGAGCTGGTGGAAAAGGCGCTATGGAGGTACAGCAGCGTGTTGACAGCCCAACCGTTCGAGGTTTCAAAGACTATTTTGCAGGTATATGTTGCGCATCCTGCGCACGCAGGTATGACCGATAGAGACGATAAGCAGAGGCGTGATCGAGGGTACCGGGACAATTACTACGAGGAGGTATGTATGATTTTGTTTGACAAGAACGTTCATACATCAACATTCGTCGGAAGACTAACGTGAAATATGATATAGGACTCCGCGCCCTCGTCCGATGACGAGAGCAGCTACTTTACATCAGATGCTGCTGGGACGCCTACTCCATCCTCCCGAAACCGCGGTCACCGGCGTCGTATCACCGATAGGGCGGGCTATATACCACCAACCTCTACTAATAAAAACACACTCAAAATCAAGGATACCTCAGCGCTATTTGACGTACTGGCTCAACTATGGGGCAATAGTGGCCCTACCTCCCTATGGAAAGCGACGAACTCATCATTCGTGTATTCCCTACTTCTCCCGACCCTCAATACTTTTATCCGGAGTCTTCTATCTGCGATCCTCGCTTTTCCAGATGAAGGCCTCTCTTCTCTTGCCGAGCCTGATATCCTCACATCCTCGTCCCCCGGCTCGTCTTTACTGCTAACCTGCATTTCCTCTGCACTCTCTGCTATTCTCCTCTCCCCCATCGATACAACCCGCACATATCTTATTCTCACCCCACCAAACCAGGGGCCACGATCACTCCTTCATGCTATCCGTCTCCTTCCTACCCCCAACTACCTAATACCACCTCATCTCCTCCCAATTACAATTCTAAATTCGATGCTTCCTACCTTCCTAACCAGTGCCACCCCGCTTGTCCTCAAATCTTACCTCTCCCTCGACCCCGTCCTCAACCCCTCATCGTGGAGCATCTTCACTTTTTTCGCATCATGCCTGGACCTAGCCGTCCGCTTCCCTCTCGAAACCGTGCTCCGCCGTGCGCAAATAGCCACATTCACCTCACCAGCCCTACGCCAACAGGGCAGCCTTCTCCCAAGCCCAAGCCCAACTTCCACAACAACGCCGCATCTGCTCCCCACCAAAAGAAAATCATCCACACCCTTAGCGGTCGTTGAAACCATCGTCCCCACCCCACAATCCTACCGCGGCATCATCGGCACGATGTGGACCATAGTTTATGAAGAAGGCACAAACCCACACACCCTTGAGCTCGAGCAGGTATATGCCCACCACGGCGCAGAGCAGTCATCACGGACGTCATCAGCGCAGGGAACGGTGGCAAGCCGACGCACACAGAAGCAGCGGCAGGGACAGGGCGTGCAGGGCCTGTATCGCGGCTGGCGCCTAGGGATGTGGGCCCTCGTTGGCGTGTGGGGCTCTGGCATTTTAGGTGCGGTATTGGGGATGAGGGATGATGAAATGGAAACGGGCCCTGGAGGTTCTAGGCTGGCGTTGGAGTCTACGGGTGGAAGGGTGGGGAGTGTGTCTGCCAAGGGCGCATTTTGATTCGACAATTTGGGCAAACTATATACTTCATTGCTTAGTTGCTCATGCATGTTGTTGCTACGTCTATGCCATCCCGCGTCCAGACTTTGTATCGTGATCGTCTTATCGTATGTCCTTAATTCCCTTCTGGATAGCCTTCATACCCATCAACCCCATACGCCTTCCTCCCACTCGACCTTTCGCAACAGGAAAATGAAAAAAAGACTGGGTCTATATAAGTGCTAAGTCGGACATTATGTGTCGAGCCCTGTTTTTATACCTTCATTTCCTATCTCTGTTCGAATATGACTCCTCTTCTCTCTACTCCCTTTCCCCAGATCTACATCCCTCCAATAGCACGACTACATTTGCGCTTGTCGAGTCTAGTGAATATCACTCCTCCCTCCACCTTTTTGCCGGTATACGTACGTATCTGTGTACATGTATTATTATCTACGCCTGTGTTTTATTTCCTATCATTTCTATTTTAATGTTTTATTCATCAGACCAACGACTTATTTTCAAAGATGATTTTAACTTAAATTTCACACCCTTTCCTCTATCCTCTTCTCTCGTCCCGTCCTTGCCTCTTAACGATCAGTCTAACTTGCCTCTCCATCGAATGAATTTGATTTTATACTTCTGATATATTTATCAACTATGTGGGGTTATTACAGGGAAAATATTTTATAATATTTTTCATCTATGATACTTCTCTTCGAAGACTTGTACAAGACATATTGGGATACAAGGGGGAAAGCAAAGGGGAAACCAAAGACGTAAACTCATCAACATTGTCATTATCCAAGAAGAAGAAAACAAAACAAAAACAAAGATAAGAAAGAAAACAATAAAAACAAAATGGAAAGAGAAGCGATATAGGCGGTGGGGTAAGGCGGAAACGGGGGGCACATTTTTTGAAAGTGACATAGATGATTACAGCACCAGGAAGAGAAGGGAAAATAAGAAAAAGGAAAAGGGAATAAAAAGAGGGGATAAAAAGAGGGGATAAAAAGACAATAGGAATTCAGTTGCCTCAGATCTTTTTTGACGCTGGGTTTGCACCTCGCTTTTTCTTATGTAAAATACACAGATTCCGGCTTGGTTGCGGACATCCTAAACGATCAAATGCAGAATGAAACTGAAGAATTTGACGTTGTCCAGGATTATATGGTATGAACTGTGTTCATGCATACCCTAAGCGTCTCTTTATATCAAATATTAACAATAATTAAAAATGAGAACTAGAAAAAAGAGGTTTGAAGTGCGCTTGTACGCAAGCTTACTGCTAATAGCTGTTATAACCTAGTCGGCAAATCTCCGATCGAAATACTTCAACACACCCATCACACTCGCCGCTTCGACCTCCATCGCCGGCCGGTTGCCATAATCTGTGAGTGGCGGATCACGTAGAGTAGGTAGAGTGTGCAGGCGCGGTAGCCAGGTGTTTAAGTCGTCCGTGGCACGAGAGAAATTTGGATGGCGCGAAAGCGCAGTGTAGGTATCTGCGCAGGAGAGGCTGATGGGTTGACGTTGAGTTGATGACGTCGATGACGACGGCGTGTTCATTTCCTGGGATTGGCAACATCCGCCACGCGAGTTGCCACCTCCACAACAACCTGAGCTTGTCGCAGTGGCAGCGGCGCTGGTGGAACGAGATGCAGCGAGGCTTTTACAGAAGAGTGTGCTCTTTGGATCAGCCTTGCATTGCGCGCAGGTTCCAGGTCCGTTGATGCATGGATTAGCCTTCTTTGGGTTTGAATGAAGGGGTTCAGAGAGAACATCGCCTTCAGAAGGAGGGGGGGTAAATTGTGACAGGTTTCTGATTGTTAATCTATTGTGTAGCTTAATAGGTGTCGAGTTGTTTTCTTCCTCTGCGGCCATCTCCGCACACACGCACGGGGTGCCATCCTGGCAGAAGCCGCATGGGTCTATGACTCTGGAGGGAGACACCGACGTCTCACTAGTTCGAATAGTACGATCGCGGTTTGTAGAGAACAGGGCTGTAAAATCAGTTTCCAGTTCCTCTGGTTCTGGCTTGATTATAATATCTGGCCTGTGTCGCTTCGATGCACTTGTTTGGTTAGGAGAGTGTGATCTTTTAGAGGGAGATTCATCCTGCTGAGCAGCGGGAGGATTGGAGAAGCGAAAGGCCTCCTCAACACACTGACACCGTGTTGCGGAGCAGTTCTCACAGGCAGATACCATCTCTGGAATTCCAGATGCTTGCTCTGCCAGCTTAACCCTTCGCATCAAATCGTCCTTTGCGTGTTTCTCTCTAGCAAGATTGTTCTCTAGAATCTGGCATTGTTTCTTCCACCAAGATATATCAACCTTGCATTGTTCCAGCTCACTCGAAATAACGTCAATGCGTTCCTTCAAAGAAACTGATTGTCGCTCATCTCTCTTCTTATTGGAATTTGCCTGAGTTGCTCTTCTAGCTCTCCAACCCTTTACCGCTCTTCTTTCCCGAAAAGCTCTCTGA